AAATAAAACACAAATACAAAGCCAAATATTGCATTATGATGCAAATCAAATATGTATCTTTAACTCCGAATATGGAGCAGTATGAAAGGCCTTCCATAACAAGCTTATTTGATATTATCAACAGTGATATAACCGAACTAGTTGAAAAATATCATAAGTTTCATAAGTAACAAATGTTTTAAATAATCAATTGAAACTTACTAACAAAAAAATGCTTTAGTTACATTCAAAGATGATGATCTCAAAGAGTTTGATAATACATTCACAACATAACTGAAAAATATTGAGTATGGTGATAATAATGAAGATGGTTAGTACTTGAATACAACACAAATAGATGCTGCCAAAGAAAAACAAGACCTCACCTTTGAGTTTATTGCATATTTTCCGGCTAAACTAAAACCTTTCACATAAACAAAATCCCAAGCAACAGTAAAATTGTCCCACTCTCTACCTAAATATATTAAAATCGCTTAAATCCCAAAACCCAAACCCCAAAAGTTTTTCTGGCAAATATGTGAATCGGGAATTAAACAAACTTTATGTCTATTCTTTTCAATTCCAATTCCTTTTTGATAACAACCTCCAACAATATATGTTCTACTAGCATATTCTATCTCCGTTGATTTTTATAATAAATGAATACCCTATATTCATCTTTCTTAGCTCTAATTCCATTTAAAAAACCTGAGGTTGGTTTTCTTCTAGTGGCATAAAATACTGCAGAAAACTAACAAACTTAATATTGATAGATTTACTTATCATTGCTTCTAAGGATATTCCAAAAAGTATTCGTTTCGATATATGGGATGAAGTAGAAAGCTATCTTAATGAATACGGAACTAGAAACAGCTTTGCTGTTACCAAATACCAGATGGAATAAAACAGCTTAGGTCAAATTCACAAAAGAACCTTTGTTTGTGAATTTAGCAAGAAATACAAATCTAAAAAAACGGTTGAGGCTGCTTTAAATAGAACACAGAGAAATACAAAAACCAAAAAAACTAATTGCAAATAGCATATCAACTTATCTATCTTGGAACGAGCTACACAAATTGCAATTACAACATATGTTAATAAACATAACCATATCTTTCTTCCTAAAATCCGAAGTTTTGAAATCAAATATCAGTTACTATCTAAAGAAGCGTTGGATGAAATAAATATAATAACAAAGCATAGTAATTTGTCATTAATAGTGCAAAAAAGTCTTTTAAAAGCTCGATTTTCTGATCTGAATTTTCAAGACCAAGATCTAGTAAACGAGATTCAAAAAGCAAAAAGTACAACCAAGATTAGTAATGATACATCAGTTTTACTTACTACCCTTATGCAAAAAAAATTAGAGGATCCATGCTGGGTTGTTGACTTCGAGCTGGATAATAACAATCACCTAACTCATCTTTTTTGAATGTCTTTAGGCCAGGTTGATCTTTTGCTTAGGTATTATGATGTTGTTATTAATGAACATAGCTTGAACCAACCAATATCAAATACCATTGGGACTTTTCGTAGTAATTGACAACAAGTGTAAGACCCGTCTCGCCTGCCAAGTATTGATAAGTGATAAAACTATTGATATGCATGTATAGATACTTGAGTATATCAAAAAGGCTGTAGACAAAGCTCCAATTGTTATATTTACTGAT